CCATATCTTCTTCCAGAAAACCGTTTCGCAGATATGGAAGACAGATTTGGGTTTCCCATACCCAACTTGTTATTATGGAACATATTTTGTTTTAAATGGCTACATCGAGTAAAAAGCATTCCCTTTAAGATGGCTATGAATTACTTACTTCCTGAAATCACAACCCCTTCAATTTGAGACCTGGCTTTAGTCTGTTAATCAACCTTGTCAAATCTCAACTGTCTCAATGGAAGCAGTCAAAGACGACGGGGTAGTTTCCTTCAGGATGTGCTGCTGTCTGATTACTTGCCTTAGGGAAACGCGGAGAGGCATGAGACTCTGCGTGCTCCACGCACAACCAATCAGAGGCGCACGAATAAGTGGGCGGGGCGACAAAGCGGTTCAAATGAGCCGTACCGTACCGTAACGGTAACTGTTTGGATAGTGACGAGCTCTTCGTGTAGGCCAGTGCTTCCTAGCGATTACAGCTGATCTACGTAGCATAGCTGTAGCACTCCCGAATTACTTACAATATTACTGAAGTAATGATTTTTTTGTGTGACCATCTCAAATAGATCTGCTCTTTGGATTTTATCCCTTCATATTATCTTAAATGCCGCTAAAAAAGGAAAGCAAAGAATATTTTTAAATGTTGTTACTGTTTCGCCATAGAGTTAGATAAATTCGCTAATGAACGTATCTACTAAAAGAAAGCGCATAATTTGTGTGTATATGTGTTTCCATGTCTGTCACAAAATTACTGCCCTAAGACAGTGAGAGCAGTTAATGGTTTTTATGTTAACTGCAGGCACTGCGTAAAAATGAGCAATTTTATTGTGGAAACGTGGTCATTTGGTTGTTCATTTCGTGTTGCTATGGACGGCTGTGCTCTCTTAGTCAGCAGGCGTTGATGATAAAACCAGAACTCCAATTCTTTCAACAGAGAGCACATACGATAGCTTTTTGGATTATTTGGGAGTACTGTTCCAATATGTTGATCTAGCACTTCAAGGTGTCAATGTGAGTCTCTGAGAGAGAGGTGAAGTCCTTTACTATACATTAACGAATCTAGAGAAAAAGGACAAAACTTTCAAAATGACCTAGTATCTCACCAAGTCCGACACTGTCGGCTTTTTCTGCATAGTCCAGAATGGTTCGTCGTTAATAAATAGCTTCCCATGATTGCATTTATTGCCAGTGATGATTCTGTTACCACTAGGCAACTCTCCTCCGCTATACTTCGTCGCCGCTGTTGCAACGCTCTGGAATTTTGCTGTCAGACTAAAGAATTATCCTTGCGTTCAGGAAAATGTCTTTCACCTTCAGGGACATATCCGGGTCAGCCTAAAAAATCAATACTATCATGTCATTCGCATGATTTGCTAAGTACCTATTTATTTCATGTTAAGTACCTGCTTCCCAACTGACTTGGATCTGGTGTGCTCTCTAGACTTTCGTATAGGTTTCGGAAACAAATCATCTCCTCGTTTTACCTCACGCAGCTGTAAAAACTAGTTAAAATACGTTGTGCAATCATATCGCAAACAACAATAGTCCATTGACTATAATTTCCAGGATGGAAGACTATTTAGCGCGCTCCGCCCTGGCGTACTACTGATCCTTTTCAAGATTATAAATTGGAACTATTGAAGGTAGTGGAGCACCTTGATTAGAATGAAAAACCTTAAGGTGGCTGACACAATCATTGGTAAGAAGAAGTCGGCATTTTCATTCTGTAAGAAACATAGAAATGGAATAGTTGTCCGCGGGGGCGGGACCCAATGGTGGTAAATAATCCTTCACCCAAATTTCCGGATACGCACATGAATCTGCCCGGTCTTTTCAGCATGCATTTTAGCTTCGACTTTATTTACAAAATGTCGCATTGTGGCTTCTTTGATAGGTCGGCTAACAAATGTTTTCACTTTTCGGACTGCCCGTTCACTCATATCTCGGATGCGACCTGAAAGGTAGATAAGGTAACTTCACGAGTATAAAAGTTGTCGGCTGATTCATGAAGAAATCCTACGAAGACTTCTCGTCGAAATGTCGTCGATCATACTGCTGAAAACAAGCCTTACTAGGTTCTGGAATTCTTGTTGAAAAGAGGATCCTACTTAGTTAGAAAAAAGTCCTATATCAAATTTTTCTCAATTATCTTTAACTCCCAAAAGATTCTAGAGCGACTTAAACAGTAGAGATAATTGGTGACAAGTTAAAGTTCCGGTAGTTCAATAAAATGTACTTTTTCGCAGATCTATCGTCTCCTGAAGGTGATGGATTAGCATTCTGATGTTGAGGATTTCTGCAAATGATAGACTATGTTTAAAAAAACGCTGCATTACATACATCATAGAAAACTTACATAGACTGAACCTTGAGAGCTACTTGCGACTCCACATGTTCGTCACTCCTCTTCTCACTCGTTGGCTGCGCTGGCTCCTGCTTCTTCTTAATTGAGGATTTTGCGTGTTGAGCAGATAACTGAAAGTTGAAAAATCAATAGGAAAACAATTTTTAACGGCGTGTGCCAAAAAAGTAGTTTCTTTGCCTACGGATTTCCTTGGCTCTAA